GAACATCCGTAGTAGCCGAGTGCACACGTTGAATGACCTGAGCCTCCTCAGAAAGAACAGCCTGCTCTGACCTTTCCTGTAGAGGGCCTCAGTGTGGTCTGTCCAGTCCAGTTTGTTGTTGAGAACTCACAGAACCTGATGTAGTCTGTGACACACTGGGTGAGACCCTCAATGTCGTCTCCGTGGTCTTCCTGGAACACTTCCCAGTCGGTTGTCCTGTAACACTCCATCAAGGCCTCCTCTGCCTCCACTGACCACTGCTGCACAGTCCTCCTCCTAACAGCAGGCCTGTATGTAGGATTGAGATGTATCAGGCAGTGGTCAGATTTGCTGAGAGGGGGAGGGCCGTGGCGCTCTGGTGTTACAGGTCATGTACTGGTTAAAGTTGGTCAGGGTCCTTGAGATTTTGGCATGGTTAAAATCTCCATTTATTACAATGAATGCGCTGGGATGACGTCACGGCCGAAAACTACCAGGGCAGGTAGTATGGCTTTAACTCGATGACCAGCAGTTCAATATCAGGCGTGCAGATTTCTGTCATCGTGACAAAATGTCCTGGGTTAGACAGACAGCAAGACAGCAAGCCCTCCTCCCACCTTCTTACCGCTCTTTTTCTTCCTATCTGCCCGAACTAGCGAAAAGCCGGCTAGTTCCACTGAGCAGTCTGGTGTATTCCCATTCAGCCATGTCTCAGTCAGGCATAACATGCTGCACTCCCGATACTCGCGTTGTCCGCTAACCAGGGCCAAGAGCTCATCCATCTTGTGTGTCAGCGAGCGTACATTCCCCATGACAACTGAGGTAAGACAGTGCTTGTACCACTACTTGTGATGCAAGACACATTTCAGAGAAACCTGAGAGTAAGTGAAATCAAATCAAAGCATTTTAATCTGTTCATTTCTTCCTGTCAGACTGGTCAACCAGGTTCAGGACAATTGTGCTAAGGAAGTCTTCATGACAGTGGCCAGGAGCATCTTTGCTGATGGCATCAACTGGGGCCGAGTGGTGGCTCTCTTCCATCTGGCCTATAGACTCATATACAAGGTAAGACACAGAGCAGTGTTTCTTAACAAGGCTGCAATTGGAGTTTTAAACTTGGCTACGATTTTTAAATTAACATGCAGATACTTGTAGTGTATTATAATAAGATATATATATTTTTTATTTTTTTTATTTTATTATTTCTTACACCCCTAATATCACTGTTGTCCAAGCTGTTATTCTGTGTTGAGAGCACACAGGAACAGAGCAGTATGTTGACAGGTACTCGGTGTAGCCCCCCCCAAAAAAAAGTGGGCTTTTAGGGAGGGCAGGGAGGGGGCTTAAAGAGACTTTAAGCTTGTTTCAGACAGAAGATGAACTAAGGGGGTGCATGAAGTCCAGTATGGAGGATGTTTTTGAATAGCTACTTTAGTGGAGTCTCATGCTAAGAATATAGAACTTGAAATGAGCAGAATAGTTATATTCTATAAACCCAGACAGCCAGAGAAGCTAGCCACCTGGTCACAAGAGACCAGTAAACTTAAAAAGTTTTTTGTTTTTGTTTTAAAGGCACTGACCAGCAACCATCTAGAGAACATCAGAACCGTCATCGGCTGGGTTCTCCAGATCATCAGAGAGAAGATCTACTCCTGGATCATACAGCAGGGAGGCTGGGTGAGTCATTGTCCATAAAGATCTGTCATATTATTATTAATTGAAATGTTGCTTTAAGGTTTTATGGTACTGTGTATGGACCAGTCAGTAAGATCCAAAAGTTCTTAATCCTGCTCTCCTGATGTTTCTAGGAAGGGGTGATCCATGGTTTTTCTCGGTGGAGGACAGTAGCCATAGTAGCATCAGTAGTATTGGTAGCATCTATTGTTTACTACAGGAAGACGCGCTGAGACATCAGACCTTACCATCAGGGCTGGAGTCCCATCTCCTGGATAACCACAGCTTCTTAATAAAGACAGTTTCCGGCCATTAATTACAACCTTTCCTCAACCTCCAGGTCCTCAACCAGAGGAGGACTACTACTGCACTTGGTAACTAACTGCTGTTAGCTTCTTTTTCCAAGAACAAAAAATTGAATTTACAACTGGCTCTCCACCAGGCATCTCCATCATCTGACACCAGCAACTATTCAGTGCCTCCCATGGAAATATAAGTGCTGCTGCAACACAATCTTCAGCAGTCTGTCAGCAGATGATGCCATTTATGAACATGGGACGTAGCTATAGAGAACCTGCCATATCAGAACCAGGTCTCGGGTCCACATAGGTTCTGTGTGGGGTCCAATTTAAATTTCTCCAGGTCTTCTTCTTCAGGTCAAATTTCAATTAGACCTGAAAGGACACGAAAAGAGCCAGCCAATCAATATTGAACAATCTGATTGTCAGATGTACTGTAGCTCCATTATGTTAGTTTTTGCTGGACGTTTAAATAATCTTGTATTTCAGCCATGTTGTCTGTTGAGTTAAGCAGGCCTGTGCCTGTTTTTAGATGTTTGCATGGCTGCAACAGAGGGATCTAAAATGCTCTACACCATCTTGAAGCACATTAGTGTGAATTATTTTTGGTCTATCTCAGGTCCAGGTAGATAGAAACAACCCCTTTTCAGATCAGGTACACATTTTTACACTTGTGATAAACTTTACTTAGCTGTACCTTAAAGCTTCAGTAGATAATTTTTATTAAAACATATTTTTTGTAATGTGCTATATCCTGACAGAAGTACATGTGACAGATAATCTTTGAAAAAATGAGGTTTCTGTGGCTCGTTCTAGCGCTCCTAATGGCATTAGCAACAATCAATCAGAGTAGAGAAAGATAGGTAATTGTTGAGTCTTATTATCAGGGAGTCAAATACAGATGCTTTTGGACCCTGGTAATGAGACTCAACAATAACCTTAAAGCCTCCACTCCAAAGCCTTGTTCTATCTTTCTCGGCTCTGATTTATTGTTTTCAGTCAGACGCAGTGTATTCTTCTTTTCTTTTAGGAGTGCTAGAATGAACCAGAGGAACCAGATTTTTTTCACAGATTATCTGTCTCATGTACTACTGTGAGGATATAGTGAAGGTTCTGCAAACATGACAAAAAGTAATTTTGAGAAAAGTTACCTTCTGGAGCTTTAATGATTCTGATGAAAACACAGATATCCTGGCTAATGTGATGATACCATAGCTTTATATTATGGCCAAAACACAGCGGAAATTGTAAAGCTCGGGCTACAGTTCACAAGAGTTTAATCTCATATTGTTTGTTTTTTTGTTTGTTTTTTTACCAAAATACATTGTTGTGTTAAGTTTTTGTTGACTCACTTTTACATACACAGTCATTTACTTTTGACTTTCACTTAACTCACTCTTCACAGTTAGGAAAGTAACTATTGTATATGGTCAGCTGGTCATTGTGGTACTGTGAACACTGGTTCAAGTATCTATCTGAATCTCACTAGTAAATTAGATTCCATTGATAACATTGCCTGCTTTGAAAAAAAACGGTTGACATACTTCCAGATGTGGTTGTGTAGTTCTCTGTACCTGCAGTAATAGGAAGCTAACTTCTATTGCCTCTGTCTTTCTGTGATTGCCTCCCTGCTATATGTGAATGTAGCTGATCACACAACACATGTGACAGATGTTTCACACACCTGCATGAGTATAAAAAGGGGTTTAAGTGAGGAACTTGATAACCTGACTGCACCAGATGGTTTTTTCCACAGAACCATCTTGTAAGGTGATTGGATAAACTGTTTTTCTGTCACAGTTTATCTCAGGCAAAATTTAACCAACCAGATGATATAAATTAACCATATAACGGAGTCAAACTACTAAAGCCAGTAGATGCAAACAGCATAAACCAGTCCTGTAGCTCGTGCTGTAGCTGCCAGTAGTTCCTCATAGGACACTGATTGGTTTGAACCACTGTGGTTGGGCACAAGCACATAGCTTGAAGCCTGTAAGATGGATTCTCACGTGATCATGAAAGGAACTGAATGCAGCTCCCTAGACACTGCTGTTAGCCTTGCTTTGCAGGTTTATGGCCCACCATCAATTACTATGTCATGCTGCAGTCTGACCACAGAAACGGAAAGATGTCAACACCAAATACATAATAACGAGAGGCAAAGGCAACAGAACAAACATTCAAACTGTAAACTACTGATGATAAACAACTGTTTGTCTAAAGGTTGTTCTGTTGTTCTGTAACATTCCTTTTGTAATTTGACAACTGAAAGAGAAGGAAGAAGAGACTTTTTCTCTTTCCATTTGTCTTCCACTGAATGGTAATATTTTAGACAACTATCAGCAAATGCTAATGTGGATGAAAACAAAAAAATAAATTCCCCTATTTTTTTTTCCATTATGGTTACTGTGTGCAGTATTTTAACTTCATTCCCACTTCCACAGATTTTAATGGTGAGCAGTTGGTGGTAGATTTTAAACCTGTAAAACCTCTGAGACTGTGCAAAAAAGCTATTTATGTCCTTTTAGTTTTGAGAATTATAATAATCTCTTAAGATTCTTAAAGTAAATGCATGAGGAGAAGGACCAGACTTTCAGGGTAGAAGAAATTGTCCTCTGCAACTCTCTGGGAAAACTGGTTCATAGATAAGAAAGTAATTGTTTAATCTAAAGCTGATTGCGATGTGTGCGGGTCAGAATGACTCATGGGAACATTCAGTGGCTTATAGCTGACCTATAAGGGCTGTTATCTAGTGCCACATGAGCTTTTGTCAAGTATTTTTGCTACCCAGTGATCTTGCACTTTTAAAAGGGATATCACACTATTTATCTACTGTTCTGTGGGGTTTTTTTACACTGTGATCTGATGTATATTTTATTGTTATAAAAATTATTTGATTGGACTTTTCATTTCCGTGAATGAATTAAAAATGTGTTATAACACCCATCGCTCCCTGTGTGAATTTTCTGACTCATTCAAGTCATGGGATATCTATTAGTTATAAGTATCTAGGACTTCAGCTAAGAGTTCATTTGTGTATCAACATGGCAGTGGTGTCAGTGGAGGGAAAACCTCCCAGGCAGACACTAATCAAGGTATTTCTTTAAGGTATATCTCTGTCAAAATGAAAGAACTGACATGGCTGTATTTGCCTTCCTGTCCCTGTTTTCACATTTTAACACAACGAAGTTTGCAAACCTGCAGTCTCTTATCTTTGTCTTTCTTGTGAAATATTTGAGTTTCATCATATGTTCTGCTGTGGGAGAAAGGTGGTGGAGTGGAAGTATAAAATGGAACCAATTAAAATGATATATTACCCAGAACTGTGTGAACACTGTCTACTCACATTATAGTGCCTGAACTAAACAGTGTAATAACCAGAGGAAACCAGTAAGTCTGAGTGTGTATCAGGCATCTACAACAGCTGTATTTATCTGGTTCAGTTAGTAAAAGTTATGAGTTCACTAAATAAACAATAGCTTTATTGGCAGACTCCTTACAAGACCTAATATTTAAAACCAGCAAAACTGTTAACTAACCAGGACCTAACTGGTGGGAGCTCTCTCTCTCTCTCTCTGCTCTATTTTGAAAAGTGTACTGAGAAAACTTCTGTTATGAATTGGCTATACAAATAAAATTGAATTTTATTGAAATTTGGTGCTACTTGTCAGTAACAGTGAGTACAGTAGTAGTGGGGTCTGAGGATATCAGCTCCACAGGTCTCAAGAAAAAAAGGTGGCTAATGTGGTCCCCCTTTTTGCTGAACCGTATGACTTTTCCTTTAGCACCACAAAATATTCCCCTTGTACTCTGGAAATATCATTGAAATAAATAAATATCACTGATATTGACTTGATAGAATACATCAACCCAGTCCTTCTCTGATTTTGGTCAGTCTTGGAGCCCCTCTCTAGCACCACCCTCAGGACAAAAGTTCAACTCTGCATATAAGATATCTACAGTAATTTGCTCTCATGCTCTTCAGGGGACGAACATTTAACTCTTGTTTCCAGGAGTGTAATTATTGAATGCAGTATTTGCACATATTCTGAAGCTGATGTTGAATGGTTAGAACGTTTTTTTATTCTTATTCATCAACTTTCAGGAACAATCTGCACTCTATTACCTGTTACTGTGTTGCACTATCAACACAAATGTACATTATTTCATGTTGTAAATTTTGCTTATTACTCTACTTATTTAATATGAATGTTAATTGGGTTTTTTTCTGTACTTCAGTCACAGTTGTGTAATTGGTGTTTAGTCTTTAGGGGTCGCCAGGAGAGACTAAGGGAGACATCCATTGTTACAAGAAATTACCACCAGTGTTGGGCTAGTTACTCAAAGTTTTTTATTTATTACACATTACTTGTTACTCATTTCAAAAGTACTATTATTACTTTACTCATTACTCCCTGCCAACAGTATTTAGTTACGCTACTAGTAATATTTTTCTACTACTCCCACAACATTAGTAAATGTGTTGTTTCTTTCCAAAATTCAGACTTACTTGTTAAATTTAAAGTAATTTTTTTTTAAGTTATATTTTTGGCCTTTTCATGACTTTATTAGATAGGGACAGCCAAAGATAGACA